TTTTTAATATAAGATTTTTGAGGATAGGTGTGATAGTGACTATAGATAGATTGTGACTATATAGGATAGTTTTTAATAATAAAGTGTTTTGAACATTCAACTGGTGTGACTATATAGTAGAATGTGACTATAACGGGAATGACTATAGAGGGAGTTGACTGTATACCATTATGGTGGTAAAAAAAAATCAATTACTGTAGACATTTTCCAGGATATAATTTGAAAAGAGTGGGAAGGAATTGAACTGAAGATTTTTATTAATTTAATTAAAAGTATGCTCTCAAGATTAGAACAAATAATTAAGGGTAATGACAATAAGATAAATTATTAATTATACATAGTCAAACTTTTTCACAATGTAATAAAGCATATACTATGTTTAAATTTTTATGAATTTTCAATGAATATTCGTTATACAAATAGACAAAATATTATTATAATTATTTTTTTCGCACACTGTACAACAATCAAAGCTGAAACTTTCTATTGGTTCCAATTTATTTGATAATATCAATAAGTCTAGTATTCAAAAATTTGAGAACAAAAAAAAATGTCAACTATTGCAAAACTTAAATATAATTCTACAGGATACTTTACAATTGAATTCAGAGCAAGTTAGTGCAGCAAATCAGTTATTTAACAAGTATTTTTCCAAAAAATAATATGACATTATTTTTATGTATTCATAATAATATTTATAATAATGATTATTTAAAAATAATAAAATAAAAATAAAAATTATGTATAACTATAAAAATTCTGGCAAAAAATCCTTTTAATTCATTAACCAGCAGAAATTAAATGATCAGCAAAAAAATCTTTAATAGTAAATTTTCACATATGTTTTAATTTAATTAATTGATGGAACATCCCAATGTAATAGCGTTAACATTAATCCAGTTTGTATATTAATATTATATACCCTCACTATACATTAAAGAACTTCTTCATTAATAATAAATTAATATGGAATTTATTTTAGTAAATTTTCTATAATTAAATTTATAAATATATTATTTTATTTAAAAATTTTTTATAATTGTTTTAAAGCAAATTTATATTATATTGTTAAAGAATTTTTTTATTCACATTTTTACCATTTATCTTAATAAAATTTTGAGAAATTTCTAGTGAATTTGCATCTATTTTTTAATTTATAATTTATAAATTTCATGTCAAATTTTTCTTTAAAATCAATATTTATATTAAGAATGATTTTAACGCTCACCAGTGGTGAAATTCACCCAAGGTAAAGTTCACCTATATTACATAATTTATTAAAATTTAATTCGTGATCTGCCTGTGAAATATAAAAAATTTGATAAATTTATTAATGATCGGCGGTGATAATTGTTATATGAAAATTTGCTTCGCATCTGAATCTCTCATTTCTTAAAATTACTAGCCTTTAAAACCCGTGTTTATAACAATGAACAAGTGTAAAAAATATGATGTTTCATTGATAAAAGTAGGAAAACTAGATGAAGAACTACATTTTGGAGCATTTGGACGTTTCTGGTGGAAGTCACGTGACAATATATTATATCCTATACGCTTAGAAATGAAAACCCTTGTCACACTTAATAAAACTCACTTTATAATTACTGTAATTAAAGGAACTTCAGTTGCTGCCTTTCAACCTGGTTATATTTGTGAAGCAAATGGCATTACAAGTTCTGTTTACAATACTCCCTCTGGTGCGATTAACTTTTTATACCACATATTGGGGGTCTTCACAAAATTCGTGATTGAGATTATGATTGAGATTAGAGGTTAATCTGGTTTCACAAAAAACGTGATTGAGATTAAGCTTAATCTCAAGCTGATCGTGATTGAAATTTTATATGAAATTTCAATCTTACTCATCAAGTAAGATTAGAATAAGATTAGTATTAACTTCGTTAACCTGGCAAATTTTCTTGAATTTTTTTTTTCAATTTAAAAAATGTATGCATATTTTTTATTTAAATACTTTTTGAACACGAAACTATTGCAAAACGTGAACTTTTTTTTGTCATTTTCCTTAAACCGTTTTCTTTTAAACACTAAAAGTTTGTGATCTTTTTAATAAAAAAAAATGGAATCTACCTACGAAAATAAAAAAGATAAAAATACTGAGAAACCTTCAAGAGTCAGATGAACTGAACCTGCTATTAAAGCTTTATTGTCTTTTCTTCTTGAACATAAAGAAAAGCTTGAAGATTTAAAGTATAAATGTGGTGCTACATCTAATCCATAGAGTGTTTAATTGTGGAAATATGCTGAAGCTTTTTTTTTGACTTTTGAATTTGAACAATCTTATAGTGTTGTTCAAATTGCTAACAAGTGGAAGAATTTAGTAGATAATTATAAGGTTTTTATTTAAAATTAAATTTTCTTTACTTATTATTTAAATTTATTAATAATTTTTTTTTTATTTAAGTCGCAACTTGCAGCTTCAGAAAAAAGTGGTGGACATCCCATTGTTATTCAATATAAAGAAGAAATTGAGGCAATTTTGAATAAGGATAGGCCTACATTAAATCCAAAATCTTGTATTGATTCTTTTGTACCCTTACCAAGAATAGAAAATTTTGATCTTGCGCAAAAAGATTTTGAAGATAATAACAAGACAGAAATTACATATGAATTCCCTAAAATTGGTAGAAAATATACAAATAAACGTGAAATAAAGAAGTTGATGTTAATGTAGATAATCAAAGCAAAAAAAAATCCAAAAATCATGGAGTTATTTTGAAAAATACTATTCAAAAGTGGATGGAGCAACAAGAAATTAGGCAAATAGAATTTGACAAAAGAAGAGAAGAAAAAGAAAAAAGAGATCAAAGGGAAAGGTCAGAATTGCTTACAATGAAACATCAATCAGATATGATGTTATTTGGTTTATTAAATAATATTACAGAAAGTTTGAGTTCTTCTCAAGGAAATTCAAATAATCAATCAGAAAAAAATTTACAAGGTATTTATTATTAATTCCAATGGTAATATTAAGTTTATTTATATGTCATGTTCAAATTCAAATGTTTGTTTTGCTTTCAAATCTTGATTTTTGCTTCACATTTAAATTTTGATTTTTGCGTCATGTACAAATTCAAATTTTTATTTTACGATCAAAATCTGATTTTTTATATTAAATTCAATTCTAATTTTAATTTAATTAATTTAATTTTAATTCAATTTATAGATGATTTGCCTCAATTTTCTTCAAATTTCATGTACTTGCAAAGAAATTTACAAACATCTTTACCATCTTTTGCACAATTGGATGATTCTGAATATAAAAATGATAGAAATGATAGCTCACGCACCTAATAATAAATAATGTAATTCTTTTAAATTTTTTATGAAATAAATTGGAAAATATATGTTTGTAATTTTTTTAATTCATTGATTTATTACTTAATTATCATTTGTATTTAAATATCTTCTCTGATGATTATTCCATAATAAATTACATATTGCATTTCTTATAGCATTACCTTCTGATGTTTCATTAACATTTGTTTCACTATTTACATCAGTTTCTGTATTATGATATTGTTCTTCTGGTTGTAAAAAATTGCGTCTTTCTTCACAAATATTATGGAGTATACAACAAGTAGTTATGATATGTGGTATTATTTCAAATGAAACTTCTAAACTATGAAGAAGACATCTCCATCTACCCTTTAATAAACCAAAAGCTTGTTCTACTTTGATTCTTATTTGTGAATGTTTACGATTGAAATATGTTTGTTTTTGAATTAATCCTCTACCTATATCTTTATAAGGAACTATTAACCAACTAAGATTCGGATATCTTCCATCACCTAATATGTTTTTATTATTAAAAGTTGTTACTAAATTATTAAACTTATTATATAGATTATAATTTATTAAAATTCTACTATCATGTTTAGAACCTGGCCAACCAACACATATATCTAAAAAACTTTTTTTATGGTCAACTACTGCTTGTAAAACAATTGAATAAAATCCTTTTCTATTAAAATAATCTACAGGAAATAGATGAGGTGCTTTAATTGGTATATGACTACCATCAATAGCTCCAATAACATTAGGAATTCTTCCAGTACCTTTGAATCCATTTGTAATTTCATTAATTTTTGATTCTGTATTTGGAAAAACAATTTTTTCTGCTAGAAATTTTGTAACTATTACATTAATAAAATCTCTTAATGCATAACTAAAAGTTGATTCTCCCATTCCAAACCTATTACCTATAGACCTAAAACATTCTCCAGTAGCAAGAAACCATAATGATGCACCAACCTTTTATTCCTATGCAAGTCCAACTATACCAGGTCCTGTAATTTCTCTTCTTAAATGTGGTATTATTTCACAGCATAACCATTCAAATGTAGACCTGGTTAACCTAAAATGTCTTTTAAATTCAAAATCTTGCATATTTAAACATATTTCATTAAACCAATACTGAGATATTGATCTATTTAATCTTCTTAAATTGATGCACTTATTAATTTCTATTCTATTAAGTTGTAAATATAGCAAGTTTAAAGGTAAAATGTTAAAATTTTCTTCCTCTTCTTTTTATTCAGTTTGATAAGTAGCAATTAAATTTTCTTCAAATTCATTATATTTAATAAGTATAATAATTATTAATATACAAATTGAAATTTGGAATTCCCTGTTCATTACTGAGAAAATAATATGTAATTATAAAAATTTATGTAAAATTTTAAAAGAAAGTACGAAAAAAAAAAATTTTTAAATCATAACGGTAAATCATTAATTTAATGTAACACAAAAATTTGTGAATCAAGATTGAAACGTTAATTTCAATTTCAAGCTGATCTCAATTCCAATCTCAATCCCAATCTCAATCACAGGTTTTGTGAAGACCCCCATTATTCAGTTCAAAAACAAGATTTTCTGGTCTGTTAATATGTGGTTTTAATAATAAGAAAATTAACAAACGAATTTTGGATGATATTTTTTTTCAACTATTTACAATAATGGTCAGTAATTTACAAATATTTATTGGAATGATTGGAGTTTTAGATCAGGAGAATTTGGGATATGTAGGTCTGGGATATTGGTCTTCTTTCATTTATAGAGTTGGTGAAGAAAAAATTTGAATATTATTTGTACAGCAAATTCATCAGCGACATTGTTCTGTAGCTTTATACCAAGATGAGCGAATTAAATTAAAATATAGCGGAAAAAATCCAGATGAAGTCTAGAAAGAAGTTTGGAAAAAAATTGAAGTGCTACAAAATTAGGATGGAAAAACTTTATTTGGTATTAATCATGAAAAGACTCAAAATCTAGTGAATATTCTTCGAACGCCTTCTTGTACAATTAATGAATGGAACAATGAAATTATGATGACACAATTATATAAACAACATTTATATAAGTTTACCCCTGCCAGCATCCCTTGGTATGAATTTTTACTTAATTGGAAAAAGTATAAATGCAATATAATAGAACTATATAGCGCTCTTGAAAATATATATCCAGAAGAATATCAATTTAAAGAAAGAGAATTTCGTGCTTGTAAAGCACTACTACGTAGCTTTGGATGTACTAATATTACACCATTTGATAAAGATAAATCGGATGTGAGTTATTTAATTGCTTTGGAAAAAAATTTTTTTTTATTTTATTAATAACGAAATAATTTTTTAGAAGTAATTTTGGACTAAAGCTGAAAATCCAATTTATGATAAGCATGTTCTTATCTATTTGTATGAGAATAATTTTCTTGATATGTCTCTCCCAGATGACAATCCTAATCCTATTGTGAATAAATTTTGGTCTTGTTTTAACGAATCTTTAAAAGTTAACAAAAAAGGGATTGATGGAAAAAGAAGAATTCTATCAATAATTGCGGATGATTTTTCATATGAAGAAATTAGGACAAACTTACTGGTTAGTTTATTGATTTACCCAGTTATTTTTTTTTTTTGTTACAATTTTACTTATTAATTTCCAATATAGGTCGCTCCTACTACAATTTTTGATGCTCGCAAATATGCTAGATTAAATGGTCCAGACACTAAGCAAATTGAGAAACCTATAAGAACAGTAGCTAAATTATCGCAAGAAAAACTGGAACAATTTAGCATTTTTTTTGAAGACAAAGCAAACGTTATTATGTCATCTTACAAATCAGATGCCAAAACTCAATTACCTGTTCTTTATCTAAAAAACACAAAAAAAGCACTTTGGGAGAAATTTCAGGAAACATATCCAAATGGTTTAAAAAGAACGATTTTTTATTGTTAGTTGGAAGTAAATCGCTACCAATATCGTGAAGATATGGTAGGATTTTGTGCAATTTGTAATACTTATGGTTACTAAGTATTTGGATATTTGAAAAACCTAATTCAAAAAGAAGTTAGTTTGATGGAAATTCAGGTAAAGTTAGATTAATAATTGATATACAAAACAAACAACTTATTAACTAAATAATTTTAGAATAATTTCATTCAATGCGCTGAGAACTTACAACGTTACCTTAAAAAATCATATGAACAAAAGTTCACAATATCAGAAAATGGTACAACCAGACATGATCTTTGCATTAATCATTGCTTGCTATACGCTTTTGGAATGTGTGATAAATTACATACTCAAATATGTAATGAATGTTAAGAGTTATTTACTTTCTTTAATGATCTCAAAAAAATTATTGGCTTGTATTCTCTTGACGATTTGAAAATATATGAAGAAAAGCTAATCTACTATCTATCTCATCAAACAAGAAAAGTTTACTTGAATTCTTAATTCAATGTAATAATATTAGAATTAGATGAAAATTGGGCAATTTTCTTAGTAGATTATAAAATGAAAATCTTACCACAAACTGCAAGAGAAACAAAGCAAGATTTTTATGGTAAAAAAGGGTGGTCTTTGCATTCTGTTCTAGTTTATACAAAATCCAGTAACAGCCAAATCCGTATTGAAGCTTTTGATCACTGGTCGTGTGATGCAAAGCAGGACGCGTGGTTTACTGCTTCATCTTTACATGGGGTAATAGAAGTTCTTGATAAGAAGCCTGAATGGATAAGCATCATTTCGGACAATGGTCCCCATTATCACAATTCTGAATTGATGATAATATTGAGTTATTGGAAAGAATGGTACGATATAAAAGTAAATAAATGGGTATTTCTAGAAGCAGGAGAGGCGAAAACCTCTATCGATTCCCATCATGCACAGGTATATAAAAGTTCTAAATTTATTCAAAATTTTCTTACTTTATTAATTGTTGAATTAAATAAATCTCACAATCAATCAAAAGGCGTATTAAATTGGGATTTGAAATAAGGAATGGTGAAAATATTCAAGAAGCAATTGAAGATATTGCTGGAATTCGTTTAGCACATTTAGAACCTGATAGAGATAATGGTAAATAATTTTTTTGTTAGAGAATTGATTTTATGCATAATTTAACTCACTATTTGAAATAATAAAGAAAATAAATAAAATAAAGTAAAAACAATTCCTGGAATTTCGAATTATTTTGAATGGAGGTGGCCAGAAGAAGAAGGATTAGATGGGTGTATACAAGCGAGATCCTTACCTCATATTGGCGAATGGAAAACCTTTACTCCAAATCAAATATCCAATTGGGCGAAAGCTGGAATGCACATGCCGCAACCTCAAATTTCCTTGCACACGACATCAAAATCCTCTTGGAAGATACCAATGCCACATAGTTCAAGTAAGTGTCTTGATTACATTATACAAATAAAATCAGATAATTGATAAATCAAATTTATTTACCAGATATTGGTTTAAAGCGACTAAAGGTAAAACAACTGCAAGAGGAATTTGAAAATCGAGGAATAATGACAAATGAAAAAGAAAATCGTGCAGGAATGATTGAAATTTTAGAAAATGAAATAGCTAAAGAAATGCAAACCAAAAAAATTGGTAAGTTTAAAAAGTCAATTGTATAAAAACGCCTAATAACAAGAATCTATTATAGATAATGAAGGGAGAATCTTAGGTAATATAACCAATACGTCATACGACAGGTAAAATAAAAAATTATAAAATATTCAAATATCGCTTAAGAAGAAAAGTTTGATATTTGTAAATCAAACAGCAACGTAAGTGCATTTCCTTTGCTATGTGGTTGGGCACCAAAGCATAATCAAAAATATGGTAAAAAGGGTTCAGGAAAAAGAATTGCACCTCAAGTTATAGTTTTATTAGAACGGTTCTTCTTAGATGGTAATGTTCACAAAAACAGAAGAATGAATGGGCATAATATGCGAGATAAACTAGTTGAAAAACAAGAAAATGGAGAATTAGCACGAGACATTGAAATTCCAGAAGTAACTTCTATTAATAATTGGATAGCAAGATTTGCCACAAAGTCCAAAAAGGACTTATCTGAACAAGCTATAGCTGGTTTTTATGTAGTTCGAGGCAAAAATTATCATTTTTTGTCATTCTTAATAATCAATAAAATACCTGGAATCTCACATTCCGGGAAGGCAAAGTCAAAAAATTTTTTTTAAATCGTTTTAATTAAATTCATAAAATAAAAATTCAGGATTTGTCACATTATAATAAGGAGTTTTTTTTTTGTATTACGCATTTAAGTCGTATTCATAACATGATCAATTTTTACAATTTGGAATCTTTTATTATATGATTGACATAAAATTCACCAAATTTGTCTAATTAATTTTTATGGTTTATTGGCGGATCACGAATTAAATTGTTTTGTTTTGAAAAAAATAATAATTTTATTAATAAAAATATTTATATAAAATATATATTTAAAAAAGCATATATAAATCATTAAAAAAAGATATTATTTTTGTTACAACAAAATAATAATTATTGTTTTAAAAATATTATCATTATTTTTGAAAAAAAAAAAAAATGAACCTTTAGCTGGTCTAAACAGAAGATAAAAAACAAAGTAATGAAAAACAAAAACTACATAATTTATTTGAAATGACAAACAAAAATACGAAAAATACGCGCAAAACAAAGACAGAAAAGGGAAAGTTACAACAAATTCAAAATTCCCCAAGAACACTTAAGAAAATAACAATGACGCGTCTCACATACAAGACACGAACGTTAGACGCGCACAACAAGGGCAGGACGAACATAATAACAACAGTTTCACCAACACATTTAACTTAACATTTATGGGGCATAATATTAACGGTTTTGGTCCTGACGATTTTAAACTTAATGTTCTAATGGACTACTATACAAACAAAAGAGCTAACATTGTGGGCATATGTGATATGTGAAACTAACAGAGATAGGAAAAACGGAAAATTTTGGAATAAGTAAAATCCAGAATATATTTCATTCTGGACCAACAAGGACAACAAGATTAAAGGATCCAGAGTTTGTATTGTAATTAATAGGAAATAAGAAAAACACCTAGGAAAGGTTAATAGGGTAGGTGCTTATTACATAGAAGCTCGGTTACTTTTTAAGAATTGCACACTCGTAGTGAGCGTAGTGTACATGCCACCATCAGACATAGAGAAACAAAACGAATTGACTAATCACATTAAAAATGAGTTTATGAATCATAGTAAAAAAAATAGATATTACTTTTTGATAGGAGACTTGAACTCGTATTTTGACAAATCAATGGATTACAGTGGCCCATCCAAACTCACTAAGAAAACTTCAAACATCATCACATAGCTAGACGACTCTTTTTTTGTGGACACATTCAGAAAACTAAATCAAAAAAAAGAAGCTTTACATGGACAAACAGAACTACATCAACCAGAATCGATTATATATGGGCAGATCCGAAGCTTGAAGCTAAACTAAAAAAGAGCCACATATACCAATCAGCCAACGTCACAGATAGTGACCATAATATTACACTCGCAGAAATCTCTTTCACAGATATAATAGCTACTAATAACAAAGGTGGTAGAAGAGCTGAGAAAAACACAAGACGCATTATATATGATTATGAAAACACCACAAATGAACAATGGAACAAATACGAAAACCACCTCAAAAGTCTCTTAGAGAAGCGAAAAGCCTTTGGTTATATAGAAACCCACAGACAAAATGAAAACACCCTAAATGAACTATAGGACATTATATGTAACTGTATACAACAGGCCTCACCCAAGCACATCCCACACAAAAAAGTAGGAGGTACCAAAACTAACCTCAATAGAAATTATAAAGAAATAGAAGACTCTTCAAAAGAACATAAAGATCTTTTATACATAAGAAGTATAATGAGGAAACTATACAAGAACGAGTTGAAAGGAACAGAATTAATCAAGGCGTCAGAAGGGATCAAATTGTTCAACCAACGGTATGGAACTAATATCTCCCAGCTAACAGAAAACACAGATTGGTATACGTGAAAATGTGATACTAGAAATTGGTTAAAGTTAGTCAGAAGAATGATTAAATTGAAAGATAAAGCTTGCAAAGAAGCAACAATAAAGAGGAGAATTAAGGAAAGGAACAATATGATCACCACAGATCAACGAAAAATGATTAATAGTATACTAGACAAGACTTACTCCAGAATTAACCTGAACAGGATCCACATAGCCACAGACACACAGGAGGAAATCCTCTTGAATTCTAAAGAAGAAGTTCAAGCAGAAGCCATTAACACATTCTCATCAATATTCCGTTCAAAAAATCACAAATTTGAGAATCTACCTGAACAATGGAAAGACATATATAAACCACGAGCTGATATTGACCTGCAAATTTATGATCATTTAGATGATATGCCGATAGAACAAGAATGGAACGAGATGCTAAACACAATGAATGATAAATCAGCTCTGGGTATATCAAACATCAGCTACAAATTAATAAAGAAAGCAGATGCTGAAGTAAATGAATTATTCAGATGATACACGGGTTTGTGTTATTATCTGCAGAACATACTAGTAAAATGGAAGATATCCCAATTGTATCCGATCCCCAAGATATACGATTGGGATTATAATTTGGCAAGAATGAGACCAATACTTTTAATTGAATGTCTACGCAAATGTGCGGTCAAAATTATTATAAAGTGCTTCAGTAGCATACTCAGCAGACACGCAATCTTAAAAGGACCAAATTACGCAGGCTTACCAGGCGAATTAACATCAATTCCACTAACAATAATAAACAGTATATTAGAGGACGCCCATGAAGAAAATAAAACACTATGGATCGTGTCTCAGGATATGGCGAAGGCGTTTGACAGCGTTGGAATGATCCCCCTGCAAAAAGCTTTGGAAAAGATTAAACTGCCACATACCATCATTAACTTCATCATAAACATATACAGGAACCGTAAGATGAGAATTATTACGGTATACGGTTTAACGGACGCCTTCACTGCGCAGGACGGTATTGATCAAGGTGAGGTGATATCCTCCTGGTATGGAGGATTTTCTACGACCCTTTACTTCACAGAATACAAGAAGATGAATCGTTAGGTTATACAATAAAACTGGAATGGCTGAATAACGTAATCTGCAATGAGAAACGGAGTACAGTCAACTCTCTTTATAGTCACACATTTGGGACAGTCCATATTTGGTGATTATTTTACAAGTGTATTGTACGTTTAGTGGCCACTACTTTCCGCACCCTCTATTGAAGGATATGGAGGTAGGTCGTTTGTATCCTCACCATCATTGAACCACCAGATGTCATCAAGGCCACCTTTTAACCAAGACAACTTATCCAGCACGTCCATCAATCAGGCATACCCCAGGGACCCGAAGGCCTTTGGATCGGAAGAACACCACCCTACTCGTCCTTTAATCCGTTGCATGATACTGTAATGGCTACTATTATAAACCCCTCACCACTACTACTGTCAC